GTGATTTTTTTTGGAGATATACTTACCTAATTATTTTTCAGAATAGAGTTTTATAACACAATCCTAAAGTTACTACTACTTCGTTCACTATCTCAAATATTCATAACACAATCACTATATAAATATATATAGTGATTAGTTGGTACTATAGTACCAACTAATCCAAAATATTTCAGATGAAAACAGAATAAAATGGCAAAATATCTGAAGTAATCTGATGTTACCATATGTTAGTCAATATTTTCTATTCATAAATTCCCTGTGCTAATATTGGTAACTATTGTACTGCTACTTTGATGAATGTCAGAAAATTAAATATGATTTTCCTATAAAAATACAGATCTATAGAATACACATGGGAATTAATATGTAAAGCAATAATTCCTAAAACATTAACATGTATGTAGAATAGTAGAAATTGGTACAGGAAGGGAAAGTAAGAGAATATATAGAGAGAGAATATAGGGAGACGGAAATATCTAGACAAATGTTTCATATTCTCAATATGTATATAATTATACTAGAAAAATAGAAAAAGGAATGCAAAGTGGTTAATGTTAATTTTTAAGTAGTTCAACGGACTTGAGTTCTAGATCTCAAAAAAATGACAATTATTGGAACTAGAATTCCATTTTATTTAAAGAACCTGATGTAAAAAAAAGCTGATGTATTATTTTATAAATCCATTTAAAAAACTATAACATACATGAGAAATTCTCTCTGTTTATATAGATAGACATATGTAGAGTTCATTTATATAATTTGACTGCATGTAAGTATCAACAACAATATTCTGTATAATTAAAAATAGGGGTGATAGTTGAAAGTTGAAATACTTTGTGGATCTAAGTAATGGTATTATTATGCCAATTCTATCCCATTTCCAATATTTGTTTTTAAATAAAATATTAGAGAGTTTTAAGAAAAAAAAAGTAAAAATTTTTTTTCCAACGTTATAGTGATTTTCACAAACCTCTTTATTTACCTTTGTAAGTTTCTCTGAATGTTGCGGAATTGTGGCACATGAGCTAGTAACTTGTAACTACAATTGATTCATCACAGATCAGTTTAGGAAGGGCCCTGGGTCAATGTATGTAGAGGACTGCTATGAGAACTAGAAGTTATCAAGACAATCATTCTAAGGTAGAGAGTGCAATTTGAGGCGGATGTCAAGCAGAGATGGCTGCTGGATTCTAGTAACTCATTCTTTACCAGGCCAATACCATCACTATTTTGACCAAGATGATGCCATTTTATAGTGATGTTTTTATTTTTATTTTATTTTATTTTATTTTATTTTATTTTATTTTATTTTATTTTATTTTATTTTATTTATTCAGATATGGTGGTGCTTTTAATAATGCCTACCTACTTTCTGACCCTTCAGGGTCTACTTTATGTCAAGTATTTTCCAGGAACTTGACACTTACTATTTTATTTAATTATCTTAATAAACTTGCTGGGGTGACATTATTATCCTTGTTTTACAGATAACAGACAGAAGCAGCCTAAGGTCGTACAGATCTGCCTGGCTTCAACGTCTAATCTCCTTCCATATGTCACAGAAGCGAACCCAGGAGTGTATAGGGCTGGCTGCATTTTTATCAATGGCCTACCAGATGCCAGATTCTATTATGTATTATCCCTAATCTTCACAAAGACTTTGTGAAGTTCTTATTTCTGATCTTCTGCGTAGTAGTTGAGGAAACTAATGATAAAAAAAAAAAAAAGTCTAGTCTGTAACTCCCAAGTTTAAGTTAATTGGCTCTAAATCCCTTCATTTTATCAGTCAAATTTTGTCTCACTTCATTTTATCCTTTTCTGCCTTGCTATGGTAGTTTGAAATGACCCCAATTCCCCTCTTCTCTGTATCCAAGGTGACTCCTCAATCAAGAGATAGAGTCATTTTCTCCCTTTTTAAGTTGGGGTTGGTTATGTGATTTGCTTTGGCAAACATGACACAAGCAGAGTCTTGTAAAGTATTTGAAGTTTGGGACTTGTCAACCTATTGTTAGGAATCCTGCCGCAATGGGAATGAGCCTGTGCTAGACTAGTCGATAAGGACAGCCACAGGACCATCATCCCAGATGACAGTAACGTGACTCCCGAGCACCTGGATGAGTTTCCTCCCCTATAGAACCCACCAGCTTGCTACCTACTAAACATATAACTTCAGCCAAGTGAACACACACACACACACACACACACACACACACACCAACTCAACTAATATTAGAAGTATAATGTTTCTTGTTTAAGGCACTAAATATTGAAGCATATTTTTACACTACCCTACCCATGTCCCTACCGTACTCTTCCCAAATCAGACTGAGATCATGTCAGAAGAAATGAATTATATTAAAGTTGCCAACATGCATCAACAGGTCTCCATCTTTGGTAGGAACAATATTCTACGAAGGATTAACATGTCTAAAACAATGCATCAATTTAAAAATCATCTATTCCTCATGATGAGAGATTATGTCCTAAGCATCCAAGCAGTTGATTGATACAGAAACCTTAGAAGCATTTATCCCTATATCTGTTCAGTCAAATGTCATGTCTCTTCAAAATATTTCTCAGGCCCAGGTGGCTCGGTGCGTTGAGGGCCTGGCTCTTGATTTTGGCTCAGGTCATGGATGGCTCAGGGTTATGTGATCAAGCCCTAGGTTGGGCTCATGAGCTCAATGTGGTATCTGCCTGAGATTCTCCTTCTCCCTCTGCCTCCCCCATGCTCACACAAGACCAATCAACAAACAAACAAACAAAAAATATAGTTTCAAAAATATTTCTCAGTCCTGTCATTGTAGTGGACATGCTTCTATTCTAACTAATTTCCCAGTCACCTTTTATCTAGACTACTGAAACAGCTTCCCTCTGTTAATCTCTCCTCATCTGTACTAACTTTAGAGATGTTTTTTTTCCCCATATCAAGAAATCACATTATAATGTTAATATTATATTATAATGTTAATGTTATATCATGTTATAATACAAAACCTCACTAATTTAGAAAAACAATTTTTTAAAAAATATTATTTATTTATGAGAGAGAATGCAGGGGGTACGGGGAGCAGGAAAGGGAGAGAGAAACTTAATCAGACTCAGTGCCGAGTGTGGAGTGCAACATGGGGCTCAATTTGATAATCCTGAGATTAGGACCTGAGCCACAATCAAGAGTTTGTCCCTTCACCAATTATGCCACTCTAGAGTCCCTAGAAAAACAATTTTTAATAATTAAAAATATTTCATGACCTTTTCCCCCCAGGATAAAATACAAACTCTCCATGTGAATGGAATCCTTCCCCATCTCATTACATCTCTTCAGTGTGTTCCTCTAGAACTGCTCCCATTTTACTGCGCACCCAGCACATTTCCTTAAAAATGTCACAACTTTTACAGATCCATGCTTTGGTTCATTCTGCTTCCATTTCATGAATTCCATTATCACCCCTGCTTCCTTGTCTTCTTGAACAAGGAGACTGCATCCTTCAGAACACAGGCTGTCCCCTTCACTTTGTTACTTACACAGAAATCATTGTATGAGTTCCTACTATATGCCAAGTATAGACCAATGGCTGGAGGAGAGAGGGAAATATGTATGTTGAAAAACAAGACACGATGTCTTAAATGTAATAACTGAGGCAAGCACAAGGGATTCGGAGAACAGACACATGCACCTCCCTCCTCCATAGTGCCTAGACAGGGACGCCTTTACAGAGGAATTGAAGTTAAAGCTGAACCTTCTAGCATTGGCAGAAACTCATTGTGTAGAAAAGGTAAGAGGTTCTTGGCAGAGGAAACAGCACGTATAGAAAACATGCTTATTGGGGCAGATCTAATGACTTCTATTGTATCAAGTGATTAATACTGTTGAAGATAAAAGAAAATATCCTGCACCATCTAAATCTTAAAAAAAATAACCTTAGAATACTTGGTAATTATAAAAATTTTAAAAATGTCTATATCATAGGAGCTTTGATTATTATAACACATTTGGAAAATAATAAGTATTTAAAAGCAGAAAGACAAAAAAAGCAGAAAGACAAATTCTATATTTAGGTTATGGAAAAATAAATAGTACTATTAATTTTTATTTTGTATGAGTTATTTAAAAAAATCTTTAAACAGATGGTATCCATTTAAAATACATAATTTTAATTTATATATTTTTCAAACTAAATGGTTGTAGTACTACTAAAATGACTTTACAAAGTAAAATATAAAATATCACTTTGCAAGGAACTAAATCTGTCAATATGACTTAGCTTAAAGTATCTTAATTTATTAAAAAAAAAAAGAAAGAAAGTAGAAGAAGAAAATTCCAATAAAAAAGGTAATGGTTATCTGGTAATCTCTGAATCTAAGTTGGTTTTCTTTTTTTTTTTTTTTCCTAAATTGGTTTTCAACTAGTCCTCCACAAGTTAAATCACTATGTATCCCCATTTCTTATTTTGTTTCACAAATATTTCTCAGAACAGTATTTCATAGTTTAGTTTATGAGTAAGACTTCCTTTCTGTTATCAGATTTCTTTTTTTTTTTTTTCCACACAAAGTAACCTGTATTTGCAACAAATAAGGAGATCGTGGAGAATAGCTTCAAAGCGGTGACCCCTAAACAAGGGTGAATGGGTTCCTTTTATTTAGGGTTAGTCTTACAGAATTTTTTTCTTCATTGGTGCCCGGGGTTCTTGGTCATGACACTTCAAATGAAGAGGGAGACTTGATAGAGTGGTAGATAGGCAGCAAAGCAAGGGACAGTGACATGATAGTAGAAAGCCCCCAAGGAGGGAGGGGACTCGAGAGGGTTTCCCTGTTATCAGATTCATTAAACACTATCCCTACTTCCCCACTTTTTGAACAGGCCCTACATTGTAAAATACATATTTACAACTATCTGTAATTTAATTAATTGTCTTCATGAAAAATAATGAATAGAGTTTTTTTCTTTAAATACTAATAAAAATAATAATAATAATAATTAATAATAAACAACTCACCTCTAACAGGGGGTCTTTCTAGCTCAGAGTCAAGGTGAATTGGCGGAGAGATGTAAGACACCTGTCCATGATGTGCCTGCCCTGTGGACCCAAAAACAAATGTTAAGCAGACATTGCAGTTACGTCTTTGTACAGTTCTTTGTTTTTATGATCTCCTATTCTCTTTCTTCACACTGAATTAAATGTCATTATACCATGTAGACGGATCTATCCAAACACAGGAGCCTTATGCATCATCACAACATCGACCAATTAAATTGGTCCCTCTGAAGTTACCTATTTTTTATTATTAAAATACACATTTATGGGATCCCTGGGTGGCGCAGCGGTTTGGTGCCTGCCTTTGGCCCAGGGCGTGATCCTGGAAACCCGGGATCGAATCCCACGTCAGGCTCCTGGTCCATGGAGCCTGCTTCTCCCTCTGCCTGTGTCTCTGCCTCTCTCTCTCTCTCTCTCTCTCTCTCTCTGTGACTATCATAAATAAATAAATAAAATAAATAAATAAAAAAAGTAAAATACACATTTTTGTGGAATGACATTTTTAAAAATGCAATGAAAATGATCTAGAAGAAAAATTAAATGAAAGAAAAAATAATTTAAACAATATAAGTCCACATGTTTATTGGTGGGTTAAACAGACAAGTACTCTATCAATTTGCGATGTTTCTAAACACATCTTCTCAGTTTATGCACTTACTTCATTGGAGGCCAGTATTATACAGTCCGCACACTGGCCTCAATATCGAACAACACTTGGTAGCACTTACTTAGATAACTTTATAACTCTGATTATTTTTTTTAATTTTTTTATGATTTACGTCTATTATCTGAATAGAAAACTACTCCTTCCTGCTTAGTGTATTTTATGAAAAAATAATCACTAGCCATGATATAAAAAGTAGGTAGAAGAATTCATTTTCTATTTCTTTGCAAAACATTCTGCGGCTCACATACTTTCTGTTTTTCGAGTGAAGGTGCTAATTTGAAGGCCAAGATGCTGACTGAAAAAATAGCTACCTAGAAACAACAACAAAATTTCTAATGTTCAAAGTAGCTATACTTTGTATACTGATGTTTCAGTAAACAATTAGAATTTTGAGGCAAGAAAGCATAATCGCAGAGTCAGTTCAATTTCTAAAGCTACTTTGTAAAACTATTTCTGAAAGAAAAAAAAAAGGTTTGGGTAGAGGCAGAGGACCCACCAATTTCTCTCTATGATGGGAATATGCAGTTATATTTTACACATTTACTATAGCAATTTACAGGGTTGTTAATCTCTTTTCCTAAACAAGGAAAGTTAATGATACATAGATTATGATAACAGTTAGAGTAACCTTCCCGTTTCAAGTAATATTCGACTTGTAATAAACTCTGCTGATTCCTCTTATGAGGCACATTTCAAATAATTAATATGGTTCCCTGTTGATAGTAGCTGCTGTTGCTCCCAGCATTTTTCTAGCTAACAGCAGACACAGTGGAGACGTTGTAATATCCAGAGCCCCTCATAATGGTAACTAAGAATATTGTGCATTCACTGGCCATGTTTCAATGGAATACTAAAGCACTATTCTAAAAGGAGTAAGATCATGATTGTGCACTTCTAGCAGTCCATGTGTAATACAGCTTATTAAAAACTCTAGATTATCTTAATTATGAAAATGCCTAATGTTTACCTATGTAGCATACTCGATTGCAAAATCATTTTTTTTTTTTTTTACTTTTAAGGTCCTGTCATTACAAATGAATTGGTTTGAAACTTTCTTGACCATCTAAATGAAAATAAAAATATTTTACTTTGTATTGGTTCAGAATAATCTCAGCATATAAAATAATATTGATTTCATGTCTGATCCAGGAACACTTTTACCACATATAATAATTATTAGACATTCATACACACGTCATCTCCATTTATGCAACCATGTCACTGCGGGTATTTAGAGGGAGGTACTATGCCAATATATTCATATTTTTAAATCAGAGAAATAAGCAGAGGAGACTGAATACCTTGCTCAAGTACATGCAGCTCATAAAGAGCAAAGCCAGGGGCATTTTGACTCTAAATCTGAAGGGTTTTCAAGTATGTCAAGTATTTTTCTCAAAGAAGGTCTCCGTATACTAAACCTGGGAAAAAAACTGTATAGATTTCAGTGATTAAACTCTGACAAGTAACTGCTTGTGGAACTGTCACCCCTACATTCGGTTTGAAGTAAAAAGACCTTTTAAATGTCACATTTGCCTCTGTTCTTGGGAAAACCACATAACTTCAAGTGTGCTCAACAGGGATACTTTAGGTAGCACAAGATCACAGTGGGTATGTCCCTAAGGGGGAACAGAGATATCAAAGAGGCAGCAGGATGGGGTGAGGATATTGACAGTCAAGTCCTGAACTCGGCTTGCCATAATGTCCATTCTGTCTCCAATGTGAACTTTAGCAAGCTGGAGGGTAAGATGTGGCTGGGAGAGAGAGCTACTGTGGCTGGAACTGACAGTCTCTCTAAGTCTTGGAGAAATAGCAGAAATGCAGTGATAGATTTCAGTTTGGTGATTGAGATCTCTAATCTACAGAATAAAAACTAGAAATCACAGAGGCTGCTGTTGATTAACCACATTAATCAAATACATTAAAAGAAATTCTGCTTCAGTTAGATGATCAGTGATACACACACATAGACCACACACACACACACACACACACACACACACACACAAAAGAAGTAATAAAGCCTAATTCTAATCTATGGTTAATGAAGGCAGTGAATCTCAGGGAGAAAATTGTTGTTCATCAGGGAGAGCATTATAGAACATGGACAATTTGAAAAAAAAAAAAAAAAACAACAGTGACTATCAAATACCCACCTACCCATCCCATTAAGAATTACTGAAAAAAAAAAAAGAATTACTGCAAAATAATAGTAATAATAACAAACTGTGGTTAATACCATAAATCACTTCCATATATAATCCTCCTAGACATTACAGTGAATAATACTCAACCAAAAATGTGATCAGTTCAAAAAGAGCTTAGGAAGATAAAAAGCATGGCAAATACAGAATGTATTTTTATTTATCTTACACTAGACATGCCTGGTCCTTACAGCAGAAGCTTTATATATCCAAGTGTGAAATGTGCTGCTCCAATTTTTCTTTACTTTTTCAAATTAAAAAGATACAGATTTGTTTATTTATTTCTCCCAAATTTCATTTCCTTTTGTCCCCTGGATTTTAAAGCCAAAAAATCATACTGAGATTTTGATTAGAATTGCATTAATTCTTTAAGTTAATTTGGTGGATAAACATTTAAAATATTTTGTCTTCATTTTCTTCTAAATGGATATCCACTTGTTTGATTTGCCATTAAATAAAGCTGAAATAAATTAAGTTTTGAAATTGTTTATATTTTGGTTATAAGAATATTTCATTGTTTAAGTATTCTATTTTTCCCACTTAAATGAAATTTGTAAGTTTTCTTGATAATTTTCATTGAACTTTTTTCATGGCTATTGTCAGACTTATTAGTTACTGACTTTGACTCTCTTAGCTCAGAGCTAGATACACTGACTGACACTAACGTTTAGTTATTTCCTGTGATCTTTGTCTCTTACAGGAAATCTATTCCCAGGCTAAGATTCATCTATAGTCTTTTATTTAATTATTTTGTGCTGTAGAATTTAAATTAAAAAAAAAAACTGATTTTATAGGACATGCAATTTAAAGGACAGAGTTTCCTGGTGATGTTATTTACCGGTTATTTTACCTTAATTTTCTACAAAGTATTTACCAAAGGAATAAACGATACTGAATGATAGGCTTCATAAAGGAATTAAAAGGGAGAAAGAGAGAGAAAGAGAGAGAGAGAGAGAGAGAGAGAAAGCTTCATGGTTTACTGCTAAGGAGTCATGGAAAATAAAAGCAGTAGAGAAACAGCTGAGTAGCTTATGAGATTTCATTCATTTCTGGTCTAGGTGAAATGATAGAAATGTGTGAAGATGTCACAGATATGTGTATGTGCATATATATAAGTATACACATATGTGCGTATATATGTACCTTTATGCGACAAATCTATATTGATATATAATTCACATACCAAGCAATTCACCCATTTAAAGTATACAGTGGTTTTCCTTATATTCACAGAGTTGTGCAACCACCACCACAATCAAGTTGAAACCATGTTCACTGCTACAAAAAGAAATCACAAGCCTATTATCAGTCACTCCTCATTTCCTCCCAACTCATCCCTGTCTTTGGCAACCACTCATTTTACTCTCCATCTCTAGAGATCTGGCTGTTCTGGACATTACTTATAACCGAACTACTCAAATATGTGGTCTTTTGTGATCAGCTTTGTTCATTGAATATAGTTTTTCAAGGTTCACCCATGTGGTAGCATAAATCAGCACTTCATTTCTTTTTGTCGTCAAATAATATTCCATTGCAGAGACATACATTTTATTTAATCATTCATCAGTTCATGGACATTTGGGATCATTCCCACTTTTCCATTATTATGAATAATGCTGTTATGAACCCCTGGGCACAAATTTTTATGTGGACATGTTTGCATTTTTCTTGAATATATATGCCCAGGAGTGGAATTGGTGGATCATATAGTAAATCTGTGTGTAAATTTTAGAAGCCTGATTTCCAAAAAGGCTATACCTTTTTACTTTTCATTTGTAGTTCATGAGGCTTCCGATACCATGGAAATGTGTTTCAGGTTTTTTCATTTTATTTACTTATTTATTTTTTTAAAGGTAGTAGTATAGTTGAGGCAGATCTGATTGAAATACTAAGACAATTGTTAAAACCTGGAAAGGGACCAATTTTTCCAAGTGGATGTAGAAAGATGAAATAGGATTTGGGTCTAGAAGTTGTATAGTTCATCCAGATTGCAAGAACAATGATCCCCCTCCCCCCCAAAAGGAGAAGTTCACATTCTAAAATGAAAATGTGTGGCCTATCTAGTACCAGGTATGCTAAAGATATATAGAAACTTTAAGGGTGGTGGTCAGCAAAACCCAGCACTACAGCAAAAACTCAAAAGATTGTTATGGATTCTAGAAAAGTCATTATTT